AATTTTTTATTTTTAGCGACGGTCTAGACCGTTTCTTAGACCGTTGCTAATTGAAAAATAAATTTATTTAAAATAATAATAAAATGAGGTAAAAGTAACAATTTTAAAATAGCAAAAATCTCGTAAAATATCATAAGCGTAAATTTTTATTATTCAAAATGTATTAAAACGTCGTTAAACAATTACATTATTGTTAAATAAAAAAATAGTACATCGAGTTTCGGTTAATACAAGAAAATAAAAAATCTAAAATAAGTTAATGTCCAGGATCGGTCGGAGGGTGGATGGAGTCGTACTGGAGGTTGGGTCGAGTCGTTGTTGGTCTCGGGAACAATGGATGAACTACCACCACGCTCAAAATGCCGCATGAACATCTACTACATCCGTGACATCATCGGAAACCGCTCTTGACTATTGTTTCTTAACTCAATTGTGGTATCCAACAACGATGCCACTTGGCCCCGTAGGTCGTTCATAGTACCCTCTAAGTTATGGATGTGCGTCGTGTTTGTAGATGTTTGCTCCTGTAATTCCTTCAACCGTGCCTCATCGACTGCATTGAATCCGAAAGTAGCGAGAAGATGAGCTTGCATTGACGAGTTGAATAATAGTGAGATGCATGTGAGCCGAGTCCGTACATCCTCTTCCTCCTAATATCTCCTCCACCAACGGCCCTTTGAAAGATTTTATTAATGTCGGGTGCGGTCACTTCGGTCCCTCCCGACTGTCGACTAGCAACCTCTTCCTCATTAATTAATCTTTATACGGTCTCCTGTATAATTATGAAACACGTCACATCAAATAAGGTTGTCAAATAACGTTATTAACTAACGGATATTAAATAATGTTTCAAAGTTATCACTTACTCGTTAACCCTCGACCGTTGATCGTCGAAGACTTACCGATCATTAACCTTTCTCCGATGAATCCTCAAGAAAACCTCGTGAGGATCGGGTTCACGACCCAACACATTACGCCGAAAACATATATAAGTAAACGTAAATGTATTAAATATAGTCGGATGTTTAATTAATTATTTTTGGTTTTATTTTTTTAAAAAATTATAAATAAATTAAATAATATATATTTTTTACCATGCGTATGGCGTGCTCTCTATGGCCGATTGATCCCCCGTATGTCTAGAAGGACCGGCTCCGACTCCACCGGTCTCGCTCCTACGGTTCCTTGTCGCCATCTCGGATCGAGCAACGGCCTCGGGTTTTGTCCATTCCGTAGTCCATGCATCCCATATTTTCCGTGAGATATATGCGGCTTCGGTTTTTTTCTTAGAAGACAAAGGAAGTCGAATATCGCTTCCGTGCGAGACTTTCCCATGCTTTCTTAACTATGCTCTCGTTCAAATCATCATCCCATTTAAATGATTTACGCAAAAAAAATAATAATAAACACTACTAACTTTACTTTCATATTATTTTATACAATTTAATTAAATATTAAATAATATAATTAATCAAATAAAATTTAGAAATTAAAACCTTAAATTCTTCCCAAGTAAAAATCTTTTGTCTCCGGAGTCATTTTTTTCCACATCTATCCCGAAGAATGAACGTACTCTTGGAATGTCTTAACGATCGAGCGAGAGCAAACATCGGAGGGATACAACCTACAAAAAAATAAACATTAATTAAATTCATAAATAACGGAGTACATAATAACGGTAACCAAAAATTTTTTTAATTAAATTAAGCATAAACCATACTCATTGCACCCAACGACAATGACCCATACTCGATGGTCAACTGCAGATGTTATTGGTTCCGAAGCCGATTGACGTGGGACATTGTGGGGTGGAACGTGTTGAGGAACGGAATGGTTGTCCCGATGTGATGACGAAGGCACCGATGATGACGACGGAAAAGATGAGGGAGGTTAACGTGGAGGTGCAAAAGGCTGCGACTAAGACATGACGGGCATGGAACGTGATGTGAAGGGGCCACCGAAAGAGTGGTACGGAGGCATGTCCGGTGGGGGATCCATCCGATCGTGAGCGAAATAAGAAGGGTGTCTACAATGTGCACGATCACCGTCGGACCGATCGGTATCCGAACCACGACCCCTACCTCGAGTCATTATGACCTACATATTAATTATTAAAGTCAATAGTTGTTAAATAAAATATGAATTATATAATGCATATATACTTACATATAATATTCAAATTAATATGAACTAATTGATTTATACTAAACAACAATAAATCATAAACATTTATTTAATTAAATCTTACCTTTAAAAATTATATGTTAACTATGTAGGTAAACATACGAATAAACCTAATTTTTTCCTAAAATTGTGATAGAATAGGGACGGTACCTCGGAGATTTATCAAAATAGTTTGAAAAATTACACTTAGGGGGACAAAACCAGCCTATCCCAACATCCCGGGAGGACAAGGTTGCCTAGACCCTTAAATTCGAACAACAATTACATAAAATCCAAGTGCATAATTAATGAATCGAATAAAAAATACAATATAACATAATCCAATGGGATATATCATATTATCTCTAATCACTATCATTATAATCATTGTCACATTCTTCATCTAAGTCTTCTTCAACATCGGTTTCTAACTTCGATTCATTCCGAATATCTATTTCATCACTATCCAATTCTAATAATGCTTCGATAGGATTAATCAATGACTGAACTTCATCATCATCAATGTGCATGACATTGTGTTAACCTTCTATTTCATTTTCTTGAAAGGGTTCGATATTGGTTTGATCGACGATAACGGACATTTACGGCACATCAATCGTAGGCCTTGGTTTAACCTTACATACCGCCAACCAATCTATTTCTAACAATTACAAATATTTCTAATAACTTTATTTTTTATCTATTTAAAATTTTTTTCAAAAACGTTTTTTAATACAAATTAATTCTTTATTTAATTCCTAACAATTACAAATATTTCTAATAACTTTATTTTTTATCTATTTAAATTTTTTTTCAGAATTTTTTTAATACAAATTAATTATTTATTTAATTCCTAACAATTACAAATATTTCTAATAACTTTATTTTTTATCTATTTAAAATTTTTTTTAGAAAATTGTTTTTAATACAAATTAATTATTTATTTAATTCCTAACAATTACAAATATTTCTAATAACTTTATTTTTTATCTATTTAAAATTTATTTCAAAAATTTTTTTAAATACAACTTAATTATTTATTTAATTCCTAACAATTACAAATATTTCTAATAACTTTATTTTTTATTTATTTAAATTTTATTTCAGAAATTTTTTTAAAGATAACTTAATTATTTATTTAATTCCTAACAATTACAAATATTTCTAATAACTTTATTTTTTATTTATTTAAAATTAATTTTAGAAATGTTTTTTGATTTATTTTGTACTAACCTAACGCTTTAACTTAATGAACTAGGAATTACTGAAATTAATAATGTTTTCAATAAATTGTGAATTACTTAAGTAAATTAACAATTATTAGCTACACTAATAACAATAACAATAACAATTTAAATAACAACATAAAATATAATATAACAATTATATTTTCTAACAAAAAAAATTAACAATAAATTAAAGTAAGTAAATTAACAATTAACAATTAAAACAATTAACACAAAATTAAAAAAGTTAACAATAATATTCAATTAATCAATAATTAACAACAACATTAACATAACAATTAACAATTAAACATTTCAATTAACTATCACAATTTACGCTAAAATAACACACAAAATAAATTTTAATTAAATAATCAAATTAAAAAAACACATGTAATGAACAATCAATTCAATAATTAAACTAGCAATAATAAGTAATTAAAAAAATTAAAAAAATCTAATTATTTGACATAAATAAATAACTGAAAAAATTAATAATTGAAACGATGGTTTAGATTTAGGTGGATCTGTCACCAAGAGAAGGAGGGGGAGCAACCGTCGAAAAAAATACCTCGTCGGAATATGGTCGTCGAAAAACGGCAGCTTCAACGAAAGAGAGAAAACTTGAAAGGAGGAGAAAAGAGGGAAGAAATATGGAGATTTTAAGAAAACAATAGCTTTGAGGAGAGAGAGGAAAGGATTGGGGAAAAAAATGGCGATTCCAATCAACTCGCTATTTATAGAAGGGTAAAGTTTTTAGCGACGGTTCGTGACCGTCGCTAAACGTAAATTCAAAATTAAATTTGACCGTTTCCCACCAACGGTTTACTTTTAGCGACGATTTGACCGTCGCTAATTTAACGTTTGCAACGGTTATTTTTGTAACCGTTAAAATAATAAAATTAAATTACCAACGGGTAAGACCGTCGCTAAACCGTTTCCGAGTTGATTTGGCGACGTTTTAGCGACGGTCTTGCATCGTCGCTAAAACGAATATTTTGGCAACGGTTTAATAACACCAAACCGTTGCTAATTTTCTTTTTGGTAACGGAATAGCGACGGTCTTTGACCGTTGCTAAAGTTATTTTTTATTTAGGGTTTTTTTTATAAAAAAACCATTGAAAATATATATTAAATAACATTTACCAACGGTTTAGTAACGGTTTAGACCATTGCTAAAACGAATATTTTAGCAGCGGTTTAATAACACCAAACCATTGCTAATTTTCTTTTTGGTAACGGAATAGCGACGGTCTTTGATCGTTGCTACGGTTATTTTTTATTTAGGGTTTTTTTTTAAAAAAAAACAGTTGAAAAATATATTAAATAATATTTACCAACGGTTTAGCAACGGTTTAGACCGTTGCTAAATTTATAAACTGTCGCTAAAATGGTTAGCCTATATCATTAGCAACGGATTGGTGGACCGTTGCTAAAAAACCGTCATAAAATTTAATTTTTGTAACCATTTTTTAGACCGTTGCTAAAGTGTGAAAAATTGTTGCTAATCTAGGTATTTAGCGATGGTTTGTTGACCGTCGCTAAATATCATTTTTGTTGTAGTGTGATGATATAAAAGACCTGTTCGAAGATGTGTGTCAGATGATGAGGATGAACTATTATCCACAATGCCCACAACCAGAGCATGTCATTGGCCTTGACTCTCACACTGATGCTGTTGGCCTCACCATCCTCCTCCAAGTCAGTGAGGTGGAAGGGTTACAGATAAGGAAATCTGGGGAGTGGATTCCTGTTAAACCACTACCAGATTCGTTTGTGGTCAACATTTGAGACATGCTGGAGGTAATAATTTATGCTTAGCTAATCCCCTATCATTTCCTTCGAACATTGAAAAAGTTCGCTCTGTAAATTTGTGCTAAAAATAACTTAAGTTCTTGTCTTCTTTCAGATTGTGACTAACGGGATTTACCGCAGCACTGAGCATCGAGCAAGTGTTAACTTGATGAAAGACCGACTTTCTATGGCCACCTTTTACAGCCCCAATCTAGACAGTGAAATGGGTCCTGCACCAAGCCTTGTTACTCCAGAGACTCCAGCGCAATATAGGAGAATAAGGGTTGCGGAATTCTTCAAGGGATATTTTTCACGTGAACTCGCTGGAAAATCATATATTGATGTCATGAAGATTCAAAATGGAGGCGGAGAAGACAATTGATCTCTTCCTACTTCACGTGTACGAATTCAAGAAACAAAATGATGGAATAAGTGGAGTCTGAGCCCACCATGTCAAGACAATTAATTATTATCGACACTGATAAGTAGACTAATTAATTAATTATTAAAATAAAAAAAGGTTTAATTTGTTTAGCAAAACTAGATAGACTAATTTATAATTTGCCCCTGCCCTAAACGTACCATTTTCTCTCTTTGGAATTGTATATAAAAAAAGATTTCATCAATTTCAAAAAAAAAAAAAAAAAAAGGAAAACGTCAAGAGTTGAAAATTCAAAAATACAATTAAAACAAAAAAAAATTTCCCAAAGCGACAGTCCTTTTTTTCTTTTATATATTTTAAAAAACTTAATAATTATATTATCATAACAGTATTTTTTAACCATACTTCTCTAAAATATATATTTTTTCATTTAAAGAAAAAAAATCTATCTAATTTAATCATGCATTATAAAATATTCTCAAAATTTTTGCAGTCATTACAAGATTTTAAGCCAAAAATTAAGGTAGTAAATTAAAATTTTCCTCTTTTCTAAAGTTAAGGTCCAAAATTAATGTGATAAAGTAAAATTTTCATCCCTACCAAATTTAAGTTTAAATTTTTTTTAAAAAAATCTAGAGATCATTAAACCTTTCTAAATTTTCCACCCAAATTTATGCTAAAACTTTTGGTACCAAAATTAAGACAAAATATTTTTTTGAGATCTTGTTGAAATAGAGTATAAACTAGCCGATTACCCACACTATGCTGTGGATGTTGTAGAAAAAAATCATTTTATAATTTTAAATTGTTTTAATTATAATTTTCTATTTAATTAATTTTTTTTATGTTTTTTTTAATAAATTTTTTCCTAAAAAAATTTAAATCATTTTTCTTTATGAATTGAATTTAGAGTAAAAAATATAATAATTTTAACTAAAATATTAATCAAGAATTAAAAATATATATAAAAATATATTTTTCATAGTATTGTATTCCAAAAAATAAAGTTATAATTAATCGACAGACTTTTATAAAAATGAATAAATGAAAAAAATTTCTTATTTAATACTAATGAGAAGATTAATTTTTAAAATTATCCATACAATGCTACGGGTAGATAGAACAAAATCATTTAAAAATTTATAATTTTTTATGATTTTTTATTTAATTATTACAATTTTTTTTTGTGTTTTTCGGAGATTTTTGCTTAACAAAAATGATTTATTCTTCTTTATTTATGAATTCTTAAATAAAAATATGTAATAATTTAAATCTAAAATATTAATTAAAAATTCAAAAGCAAATACTTTAAAACCTCGTTTGTTTATAAGAATGTATTAAAAAAATAAAGTTAAAATTAACATGTAGACTTGCATAAAAATTAGTCAATGAAAAAATAAAAATTTATTCTTATTTAATGTTAGTGAGAAGATTTTTTTTTTCTCAAGTGTATGCATTAGATCTATGTATAATTGTTTACAAAATAATCAATCGAATCATCTCTTCCTTCGAGGGGAGATAGTCGCAACAATCTGGAGATACTTCGACTCGCTCCTTTGTTGGGTTTCCCTCCTAGTTGGAGGATGGCCCAAAGGTTTGCCTACATGAGCCCAATTTTGGAGCCCATGTAGAGGAGGATTTTTTAATCACTTAAAGGGTAATTTTGGTATTTTCAAATAAACCCTATCTTCTCTTTTATTCTAAAATCAGATTAGGGAAGAAGCAAGAGAGAAAAAGAAGAAAAAAGGAGTGAGAGCTACAACTTTGGAGAGAAAGAGGGAAGAAAGTTTCAAGCACAAATCAATCATGCTAAAATTGAGTTTCGGGTTCATTAATTGTTGGATCAAGCTCAATTTTGGTAAACACGTTCAAGAGAGTCGGACATACATTCGGAACGATGGAGATCTAGGTTTGAGGCCTAGAGAGGGAGATATGGTGCTCGTAAAAGTGCTATTTTCCGATAAAATCTAAACTTGGTTTCTTCTACTTTCTTTGTGTATCATCTTTTGATGTGGTTTGCCAAGGGTGTGTAACCTTTGATGTTTATGGCTGATTATTCATCTAGTTTAATCTAGAGAGGACTCCTTGTACCAATTATTGTTGATAGTGGAAGTTATAGTGGACTCGATCTCGTGGTTTTTTCCTTCTTAAATCGAGGAGGTTTCCCACGTAAATATTTATGTGTGCTTTGTGTGATTGTGATTGGTTGCTTATTTTTCAGATTATTAGTTACTTGTTTAGCTTGGGTATTTGGTTGTACCCTATGGTTGATTATTCAAGCAAGGGCAAAGGGGTTCCGTCGTGTTATTTGTGTTTCTTTGCCCAACATCCTTAATGTTCCCACGGTAGAAAGCTCGGTGTGTGTTTTAGTTAGGAAATGGCTACACTCGTGGAGCTCCCACCAATTAGAAAATTTTTTGGAGAATGGTGACTCTTCATTGCACACTTTGGGAAATATGGAAGGCACAGAATAAAGCATTTTTTAATGGGGAAAAAATGGTTGCTGCAGTTGATAATCTTTAAGATCAAGAGATGGCTAGCCGATATCCTACCTTTGTTCATTCCTAAGGACAAACTCGGCTTTCATGACACCCTTTGCATTTAAGCTTTACTGCATTCCTCTTCTACCTTCAAAGGTACCCCAAGGTAAATGGATTGTATGGTCTCCACCACTACAAAAGCTCAAGTTAAATTGTGATGGATCCGAAAGAGAAGGAATCAGTATTGGGAGAAGAGTGGTGAGGGATGGAAATGGGAAGTTTGTTATTGCATTTTCCTCTCACTATGGGGAGGGTAGAAATAATAAATGAGAGGTTAGTGATTTATTTGAAGGTCCGGAATTATACAAGAGACATAATTTAGTCATTCATTATGTGGAGTTGGACTCTAAAATGGTGATTGATGCTATTAAGTGGACTATCTATAGTGCCTCGGCCATTGACATACATGATGCACAAATGTAAAGAAAAGATGGAGGATATTTCAATTACACATATATACAGGGAAGGCAACTACACTGCAGATAAGCTAGCAAATCATGCTTACACTCATGAAAACAAAGTTACTTACCATTCTCTCGGATAGACTCCCGTCTTCGGTTCAAGCAGCACTAAAGGAAGACTTTTATGGCCTAGCAATATTTAGGAGATATTTTTTTGATAATTGTTTATCTTTTCAATCTTTCCAATACAACATTATGCTTTTTAGTTTCTTAAGGCTTAAGGGATGCCCCGTTTTTTTTTACAAGTTTTAGGCTACTCGGTCTCCCCATTTTAATGGGTTAGGCCGGTTTTGTCCCTCCTTATATCCTTTTCACATTTCATTTATGGTACTTCAAGGTACCGTCCTTGTTCTTAAAAAGAAAAAATCAACAAAATTAGTATACAAAAATATATTTGAATAATTGGTTGGTTCCCTTAAAAAATTATTTTAATTATTTTATTTCAAATAAATTGGTTCTATAATGTTAAAAAAATATATTCATAATAAATAATTTATTTTATGTTAGAAGACGTATAGCTAATTGTTAATAAAATTAACGATTCAATAGTTTTTATATATGTCTTGACCATACCTAGTAAACCGAGATAAATTATTTGAAACACATTTCTAAACTTTTAGAATAAAATAATTATATATTTATAAGTGTGCAACTCGTCATTGAGAAATTTTAAGAATTCATGATATACATTATATCAATTTACTTTTTTAAAAAGAAAAAAACAATCATGCTTTAAAATTTTATTCTAAATTTCAAATATAGAGAAAAATAAATTATATTTATCTATAAATAAAATCTTATATAAAATATTAATTGGATGAGAATTTTCATAGAGAATGATAAATTCAAATAATGAAATTTAAATGATAAGAGTGATATAAGTTGAAGTATATGTTAATTTTAAAATATAAAAAGATAGTGTGTGTTTATATATATATATATATACATGCTACGTGAAAATGAAAGAAAAATAAAAACTAAGGATTAAAAAAAATATTACAACATGCGGGATGAAAAATAAATAAAATGTGTTAAATTTGCCTATTAATGTCCAAAAACACAAAAAAAATTACTTAAATTAACATCAAGTGAATAGTAATTTTATACGTATGAATAGTAAGTGAATAAGAATTTTAGACATATGAATAGTTTCGATTTTTGCATAATGTTATGGACCAAACTAAATATATTTATTTCAGTTTGATAACATATATTATGTTATTGGTTAATTAAAATATATTAAATTAAGTATAAAAGATAAATTTTGAAGTCAAAAAAATACGATTTGTTCTTTCTTATGCATTTATTATTAAATAAAACCCCTAATAAACAAATTTTAATATAAAATTTTAAAAAAACATCTTACTATTTTTTTCATTACATTATATCGAAGAAACAAAACAATAATTAGTATAAAAACTTGTATGAAAATTAACCAATGAAACTTTTCTACATATGAGAAGATTTTTTTTTTTTTTAAATATGTACATTTGATTTATATATATATATATTTATTTATTTATAAAATAATGAATAATATTAGTATACAAAATTATTTTTGAATTATTATGCAATTATTCTAAAATCTTATTTCAATTATTTTATTTAAAAAATTATTGTAAATATTAAAAAAAATAATAGCAAATAATTGGTATTATATGTATAGATACACAGTTGATTTCTTATAAAATAAACGACTCTAACATTATTATTCTCAATACATAATGACCATACTCAATAGGTGAGAATGTATAAAATAAATTAAAAAATATTTTAAAAAATTAAATGGTAAAATATGCATTGAAGTTAATAGAGGGTAGTAAAAACTATAAAATCAATTTTGATAAAATTTTATTATGTAAAAAATATGAAAATAAAATACATATATTCAATTTTTAAAAGTTGATTATATAAGAAATAAGAAAATAAAAATAGGTATTAAAAAAAAAACTTATTCGAATCCATATATAGATAAAATAAGTCATATTTATTAATAAAT